GCAGAGATGACACCTTGTAAGGTAATGCCAGCCAACTACACCATTTAGGATTTTTTTTTTTTTTTTTTTTTTTTTACCAAATATTCACTTTTAATGATCTCAGAGGGGTTCGTGATTATTATTCAAACATTCTCGGTGTTGCTTCTGTAACTTACAAATCTTGCTAGAACCATAGAATTTATAATCATTTTTCGTTGACAACCAGCTGATAAACAAGACCCAGGGGTAGTGTTTCTCCTGATCTTAAATAGAACCACTTTTTAAAACTGTAGATACCAATACTAGTGCACACTGAAATGGTAACGGACAATAGAACCCGCCAGATTATTACTATAATTCTCTGCAGACAAGCATAAACATCATCACTCTGTGATTAATGGATGTTAAACAAATTTGAAAGTGATCCAAGGTCATTTATATGAACAAACATGACTCACATCTCAGTAACAACCCTTTTTCTCCAGAGGGAAAACTAGGTCGCTATAGTAGTGTACTAATCTATGGATCATGCTACTATTACCCAGGAAGATTCGTTGACGTACCTTACGATCAGTATGGTGTAAGTGACCTCGAAAATATAAAATTAAACAAAGCATTTTATGGACAATTAGAATGTTTTCAGGCTTTATCTGCTCGGTAAAACATGCTTACTATATATAACAGGCTGTGATCCCAGTGTTCATAACGTGGACAATTAGGTCCTATGGGGGTCTAGTACATGTTTTATTATACTTCCTTTGATGTGGTAGAAAATTAATCAAATAACAACACATGAGTTATGATTTCTTTTATTATAAAAATTTCTACCATAAATTCATCATGAATCATTTGACCTTCTTTATATTAAAATTAAGCACATAAATTTCAGTCCATGTAAACACCAGGTAAGCAATACCACAAGTTTTATGTAGGAGTTATTGTACAATTGAACACGCCTCCTTGTGTACAAACAAATACTTACAGATCAACAGGTATGGCATTAATAAAATTAAATACAGGTGTCAACTTTGTCAAATTTAAATTTACCATTTACTGAAAAAAAAATCAAATAACAACTTGTTCAAAAACTTTTCAAATGAACAACTGGGAATTGTTAAATTTACAAAATTATTCAAATAGATTTCCTAATTATTCTCTTGAATAAAATTGCTCCCCTCCTCCAAAAAACCCAACAAAAACCCTCCAAAAACCAAAACACTTCTGGAACCATGCCATGTTACTACAGCATACTCAATATATGTACTGTAAAACTAGACCTGTAGTTTCCTTTGAGAATTCTTTGAAAGGGTGGTCTAATTGATGTATATCATCTAATTGATGTATATCACTGTGACTAAGAGCTCTGATTGTAATAACTGTAATGTGATACCATTTCTTCTTTATAAAGGAATAAGATCAAATAGATTCCTTCCCTGTATCTGTATTAGCTGAGACCTACACAAACAACACATCTTGTATAACATATCTATTATCCACAGCTGCCCTTTATACACAGGTATTTGTGAAGTGTATACACTGTATACAGGGAAATGTTCACTGAACTTTTCCCCTTTTAAGCCCTCCATTTTTATGGGTGATTTTTTTTTGACAGCAAATTTTAATACACAGTGTACTTGCATAGTCGTCGCATGTGTAGAGACAAATTAACACGGGGTGAATATGAACAGCTTAAGTAAGAGAGGGTGAAAGTATCCCAGTATTAAAATGTTTTAAAGATGTCACTCGTGATTACCCAAGATCAATGATAATTTGCTTCAGAGAAACTCAAACTAAACAACAATGGACAAAACGACGCTGAGGATGGAATAATGACACCACTTTGTCAAAGAATAAAATGGCAACAAAAATCTTGTGAGCCACTGTCACCTTGGTACAAAAATGATATAAGGAACAAACTGAGGGCAAAACACCTACTACACTAACTAGTCAACCAACAAATAACCAGCATTCTTCAGTATGAAGAACAAAACATAAATTTGAACACATGGGGCCCAGCCTCGACTTTGTCAAGGGTAAAAAGTGGAACACATTATCACTAAATATATAAAAGTCAAATGTAAATGCTAAGTACAAAATTCAACAACAGTCAGTAACAAATAGGTCGACTCTGAACACAAATGGAACGGTACATCTTATTTCCTTTATATAATATATTTCTAACTATTTGAATATATATTTTGAGTAAATTTTTTCTGTTTGTCATTGTTTCTATAATGAAAATCGTTTACTTTTTAATATAGAGAACCTTTTTTTAAATTTGATCTTCTCATAAAAAGTGAACTATTAACAAAAAGCAACAGGCAATTTACATTAGTCAGTTTGTGATACTTGATAGCAAAGCAACATGATACGTAAGTTTACATATGTAATATAATGTATCCACACAAACCTGTGGTTAGCTGGTTTGATTGGATGAGTTGAAAGTATATCGTTGTGGTTTCACTGACCACCAAAAATACCATGAAGGTAAATAAACAAGAGAGGTTTCATGTGATACATATTGGTACTCAGAGACCAAGATCTGAACCTTATTATTATTTTCATGCTTGTTTTTAACTCATTCACCCCTGAAGACAAATTTGAACTCTTCCAGTTCAAAGGTTGGAATAGTTCATTATGAAATTTCAGGGTTGAAGGGGTTAAAATGATGTATCTGAAGTCAGACAAAGTACACCAGCAGCTATATTCCATGTTCATTTGTGACCAAATGAAGTCTTTCTTTGTCAATTGATATGAAAAAAATATAAGTGACTTACATTGTGATTTTATTGTTGACAAAAAGGAAGATTTACGTTAAAGTCACGACAACAGTGATACAAATGAAATTTATAAGATGGAGCATCACGAATAGATTTCGTGTTTTATTTACGACTTACTTGTTTCGATGATTTGGTTCTGTAAACCGTAAATACAACACGGAGTCTAGATGTTGATGCTCCATCTTATATGTATTTTGTGTTTACCTACCGTGATGGAACTTGACTGAAGATGACGGTAGGTATCTATCTCGGATTCCTATTACCACCAACTTTCAACCATCAGTGGCATCAACAACCAGGGCGTTGGTTCTCCTCCACTCCGACAGGAGAATCAACAACCAGGACGTTGGTTCTCCTCCACTCCTACAGGAGAATCAACAACCAGGACGTTGGTTCTCCTCAACTCCGACCGGAGAATCAACAACCAGGACATTGGTTCTCCTCCACTCCGACAGGAGAATCAACAACCAGGACGCTTGCTTTCCTCCACTCTGACAGGAGAATCAACAACCAGGACGTTGGTTCTCCTCCTCTCCGACAGGAGAATCAACACCCAGGACATTGGTTCTCCTCAACTCCGACAGGAGGATCAACAACCAGGACGTTGGCTTTCCTCCCCTCCGACAGGAGAATCAACAACCAGGACGTTGGCTTTCCTCCAGTCCGACAGGAGAATCAACAACCAGGACGTTGGTTCTCCTCCACTCTGACAGGAGATTCAACAACCAGGACGTTGGTTCTCCTCCACTCCTACAGGAGAATCAACAACCAGGACGTTGGTTCTCCTCCTCTCCGACAGGAGAATCAACAACCAGGACGTTGGCTCTCCTCCTCTCCGACAGGAGAATCAACAACCAGGGCGTTGGTTCTCCTCCACTCCGACAGGAGGATCAACAACGAGGACGGTGGTTCTCCTCCACTCCGACAGGAGAATCAACAACCAGGACGCTTGCTTTCCTCCACTCTGACAGGAGAATCAACAACCAGGACGTTGGTTCTCCTCCACTCTGACAGGAGATTCAACAACCAGGACGTTGGTTCTCCTCCACCCCGACAGGAGAATCAACAACCAGGACGTTGGTTCTCCTCCACTCTGACAGGAGATTCAACAACCAGGACGTTGGTTCTCCTCCACTCCTACAGGAGAATCAACAACCAGGACGTTGGTTCTCCTCAACTCCGACCGGAGAATCAACAACCAGGACATTGGTTCTCCTCCTCTCCGACAGGAGAATCAACAACCAGGACATTGGCTTTACTCCACTCCGACAGGAGAATCAACAACCAGGACGTTTGTTCTCCTCCACTCTGACAGGAGAATCAACAACCAGGACGTTGGTTCTCCTCCACTCCTACAGGAGAATCAACAACCAGGACGTTGGTTCTCCTCCACTCTGACAGGAGATTCAACAACCAGGACGTTGGTTCTCCTCCACTCCTACAGGAGAATCAACAACCAGGACGTTGGTTCTCCTCCACTCTGACAGGAGATTCAACAACCAGGACGTTGGTTCTCCTCCACTCCGACAGGATAATCAACAACCAGGACATTGGTTCTCCTCCTCTCCGACAGGAGAATCAACAACCAGGACATTGGTTCTCCTCAACTCCGACAGGAGGATCAACAACCAGGACGTTGGCTTTCCTCCACTCCGACAGGAGAATCAACAACCAGGGCATTGGTTCTCCTCCACTCCGACAGGAGTCCTAGGTTTAATGACACAAACAGTTAAGGTCCTGGAAACGACCACACAAATACAAAAATAACTTCTCTACGTAATATTTCTGTTATATAGATTTCTTTCTATTAAAGGAACTTTAAAGCCAATATATCTATTAATTGAAATAATACTTGATATTTACATGACAATTAAATTGGTCCTGTTTATAATATATAATCTATGATAGATAAAATGTATCTATTTACACATGATATAAATATATCTGAATAACAATATCAGCACAGTCATACATAATCACGTGATCATCATTCAAACACAGACAATCTGATTGGACAGCTTCAATCCTCTTAATTAATCAACCAAAGAAAAATAAAATTTGGCTTTCAAAGCAGCATATAAAGTAATGTTCATATAATGATTATAATCTATATCTTTCTCCATTTCTTTTATGTGAATATATACATCATATTTTAATAATTTTCATTTGATATGAGATTGATTCAACTTGTAAATCTGATTCCTTTTTAGCTCAACAGACTCTTATTTCGCTAAAATGCCAACTAATTTCATAAATATAATACAAAATGGAAATTGATTTAAGATCCTATGTATATAAATCCTATCCAACATAAGACTGCCAAACTAACACCTTCTCATCAAACAATCTGTATCCAGACCTGTTTTTCACACCAGTGATATTTAATTCTAAAGTCAGAATTAACAACTACAGGCCTAACAATGACGAGGCAGCAAATTCAGCATATTACACTTTCCTTATAAACTAAGATAATTATGTGTGAAAGCGAAAGCTCTTATAAATATAAAAACATTTGTCAGAAAAAAGGCAAAAATAATAAGCAAAAGCGTGTGAAATTTAAATTCTCACTCCGAAACTATATATATAAAGAAAAAAACCCACCATTATCCTTATAATAAAACTCAAAATTTAGACCATAAACATAATTGCCTCCATAGTTTCTTTACCACCAGGTTGTGACAATTCAACATAGGTGTAGAAATAAAGCGAAACTGCAAGCATTCATTTACAGAGCAATTAAATTCTGTATGGTTACAGCTCCAAAACACAGGAAAGTTCAATATATAGAGCATTATCACAACTTATTTCATTAGGATTTCTCTTTCATCTTTTGATCTGTAGAGAAGTTATCAATGATGCTAAATGGTCCTACTAGAACCACGTTTCTGATACTGAAACAATAACAGATTCAAATGCTCCAGGTTTTTGACAAATGGGACTATACTTTAAAATCATTAAGATAAAATAATATTTTAAAACATTTTACTCTCAAACTTATGATCAAATTTCAAACTGATTGGAAGAACATTTCTGTGATTTCTTGATCATGGGTCAAAGGTCACACTGATCCGATCCCAGGAAAGAAGAAGAGGTGTGGTTTCCGCAGGGAACTTTTATATTCGGACATCTGTGACATTTGATCCATTTCGATTTGAGGACAGCGTGAAATCTTTCTGGAAACCAATTGATTGACCTACAAAACAGAAAATTTCATATTTTAAACACAACAAACCAAGAAGACACAGTCATCATTATCCGCTGCTAGAAGACTAGACAGGGAGAGAAGTGAGGACTGAACTAGAAATATATCTACACGTATACATACTTAATCATGATAACAATTGTACAGAAAACATGGAAATGTCACATGTTTGCAAGAGGAACAACTTAAGCTGTATCATTGATGCTGAACAAACCACGCAGCACTTTTGTTTATCCTGATACGTCTTGCATAAGATTCATCAGTTTGGAAATATGTAACACATCAAAGTTTTACTTGATACACAAACAATGTATGTAATGAATGTGTTGCAATGTTTCAAGACAAACTGGTCCCTCTGTCAAGCTATGACTGAATGAGCGATTTGTGTTTACCTGTACAGGATTTTCACAAAAATGTAAAATTACATGGTCATAAACAGATATGGTTTTAACAATTATCCCTACACCAAAGATTGTAAGTCTTAAATCACAGTTTTAAGTTCCAGCGCATGTACTACCCTACTACCCCCCCCCCCTCCCCCCTTA